GTCAGCGCCGTTGCGCCTGCCTGCCTCGCCCGCCTCCCTCCCCCTCCTGCTGCCGCAGGATCGACGTGATCGACCGCAGCGACGCCCTCACTTTCCTGGAGACCGAGGAGCGGCGGGCGGCGGCGGCGCAGCAGCGGGCAGCCAGGGGCGAGGCGGCGGCGGCGGCGGCACGCAAGGGCAAGGGCAAGGCGGCGGCGGCGGCGCCGCCTGCAGAGGAGGGCGAGGAGGCGCTGGATGAGATGGAGGAGGACTGAGGGGCTGGAAGCACATTTTTAGGCTGTTTCCAGCCCGACCCAACCGAGCAAGGCTGTGCCTGCCCTAACTGAACAACCCTACTCTTCAGTGCCAGGTGGTCGCTCGGCAGGGGAGCGCCCATGCGCTTCCAGACCGGCCCGACGCCGCATGCCCAACCCCGGTGCACGCCCACACCACGCCCCTCTGCAATAGCTAGTTCTGTACCCATTCCGCCTGCCCTGCACAAGTTCACCTGTTAGCCGAGCGTCCGCTCCACTTCCCCCTCTCTGCACTGCTTTCAACCACCCCGATGCCTGCTCTTGCCTGCATTTCATTCCGCCCCGACCTGCCCCCAACCTTTGCTGCACAGCGCCCCAATCTGCCAGTGACGACCCATGCTGCACTGTGCGTGCTTACACGCGTGTGTAATGACTGACGCGCTTCTGAAGGCTGGGCAGCGGATAAAAATAGCGTACAAGAGCGGGGGGGAGTGGAGCAAGGGAGCACAGGGCAGCAGGGAGGCAGCAGCAGGCAGCGGAAACACAAAACTAGCGGGAGGCTAGAGGCGGCTGGCAGTGGGGCTCTGGCGGCATGATGCCAGCCCCTCACTCCTGCATCTGCTCCTCCTGAACCTCCTCCACCGCCACTGCAGGACAGCGAAATTGCCTGGTGTCAGGCAAAGCAGAGGGACTACCGAGCCGTGCTGCTGCTTCGCTGCCGCCTCCACCTTAGCACTCCAGAACAACACAAAATGCAGCCCCGTCCCAAGCAGCACGCCCCGGCCCATCCTGTGCCACCAAGCAGTCCCACCCAAACACCCACACATCACACACACACACACACACACACACACACACACACACAGCAGCAGCAGCAGCAGCAGCAGCAGCTCACCCTTGAGCTTCTGCTCCTTCTCCCGGGCCAGCGCGCCGGGCGCCTTGACCAGGTGGATCTCCTGCTCCAGCTGGCGCCGGTCCGCCGCCTTCTGCTGGCCCTTGGACTTGGCCATGCGCCGCTCGTAGAAGCGGTCCTGCCGCGCCCCGCGCACCTCCTCCACCTTCTGTATCGCCTTGACTGCAGGGCGGAGGGGGCAGGGAGGGTGAGCGGGGCGGTGAGGCGGCGGGAACAACGTGCAGGCTGGCATGGGGTGAAAGGAATGGCAAGAACTGGCCCCTGCCAGTTCGCCCACCTGTCTTGTGCACCAGCTCGCGATCGTACTTCTCGGGCCGGTTGCGGCGCCGCTCCATCTCAAAGGTGGCGTCCTGCAGCGGGCACACGCACACATCAGGGTGGGGACAGGCAGCTATTGCAGGAGGGCTGGCGCTTCGGATCCAGGCCATGCTGCCCCCGCCCGCCTCTGCACACTACGACCGCTGCTCTTCCCCGATCGCAGGTGGGATGCTGTCCGGCCCACCTCTGCCAGCTCCTTGCCCGCCAGCTTGCGGTAGGCCTTGGTCCACTTGACCTTGCGCGGGTTGCGCTTCATCTTGAAGTTCTTGTGGCACTTGGACCGGCAGAAGCGGAAGATCTGCAAGCAGAGGACGGAGCGAGGCAGGGTGGGCAGCGCTGTCTGCGGTGGGGCGCGGGCAGCGGCGGCCGCCCCCGGCTGCCTCGTCCGCGGGGCCTCACCGTCGCGTCATTCCGCACAAATGTGATGCCATGGCCCGGATAGCAGGTGCTGGAGCAGAACCAGCACTTCTCCAAACGCACTGCAGGGCGGCGGCGGGGTGCAGGTGGGTTGAGCGGCTGCCGTGCGCCATGGCTCCGCGGCACATGCACACGCACAGACTGCACGCCCTGGCCCCTGCTGTGCACCACCTCTGCGCATGCCATGCCAAACTCACTGGCGTCGCTCCCGTGCGCCTCCTGGGGGCCTCCCTCGCTCCTCTACCTACTGCTAATCTTCGAGCAAGCCTCGAGGACGCAAGCGCACACCAGTCTACGCGCCGCCAGTGGCAGCCGCAAAGCTCGAATTAGGTTTACGACAGAGAGGAGCTATAAGGAGAGTGAAGAATGAAACGAAATATGTACCTGCGCACAACGAAGAGCCGCCGCCACTGGCCGCCGGCACAACGCAGCATGGCAAGCAGCCAGGCCGGCCATCACAGCGCAACGGGCCGTGGCTGCTGCGAGGCGACCGCCAGATGCGGCTCGGACCAGGGCAAGCCCTGCTGCAGCGCAAGGTGGTGCTGCTGCTGCAGGCGCGCCTGCCAGGCGTCGCGGCACGCGTGCCACTCTGCCGCCGTCGCAAGCTCGGCGGGCACTGAAAACGCCAGCAGCGGCTGGCCCTCCTCTAGTGCCTCCATCTCCGGCGGCAGCCGCAGCCGGCAGCTGACGCTGTGCAGGCAGAGGCCGCCGCTGGACAGGCAGCGGGTGGCCGCCTGCGCGCCCTCCAGGCTGTGGCACAGGTAGAGCGCCGGGTAGCCCAGCAGGTAGCCGCTGGCGGTGGGCGGCACCACGCGCTGCCAGCCAGGGATGCTGCTTGCCTCCACAACCGGGATGCCGCCGCCGCAGCAGCAGCTGCCTACCCGGGCAGACTGCTCCGCGGCCAGCACCAGCCCGGCGCGCAGCGCGCCCAGCTGAGCCGCCGCCTGCGCCGCCTCGGCGCCGTCCGCCCAGCGCGCCGCCCGGCTGCCATCAAACGCCACCAGCATGACGGGCGGTGCTGCCGCTCCCGGTGCCACCGCTGAAGCGCCGCAAGGGCCTAGACCGGGCAGCATCCCGGGCCGCACCAGATAGGCGCAGTCGCCCAGCGCAACCACGCACAGCCCCGCCGCGGGCAGCTGCAGCGCGCCCGCCAGGCTGGCGGCTGCCGCCGCCAGGCGCTCTGGCGCCAGCGCCGCATAATCCAGCATGAACCCGGGGCGCAGCCCGCTCAGCACCGCCAGCACATCTCTGAACAGGCGGGGGCAGGCCGCACGTAGGCGGTGGCTGGCGGACACGCCCTGCAACAGTGCAGCAGCGGCCGGCTCAGCAGCCGCGGAGCATGGGCGCAGTCAAGGAGGCGCCTGCGCGTGGGAGAGCAGGCAGAGGGCGGTAGGCTGTGCCGCAAGCAGCCGGGCCGCGCCTCACCCTGCACAGGCGCTCATAAGCGTCGAGGAGTGGTGCTGCCGCTGCCCCCTCGGCTGCCATGGCCTGCTGCGCCGCCGCTCATGCGCCGCGGGGTGTTCCCGCGGCTGCTGCCGCCGCCGACGCTGCCGCCGACGCCGACGCTGCCGCCTGGCGGCCCTGCTGGCTGCGCGTCTGCTATGCGCTGCAGCGTGGCGGCGACGGCCTCAATCTCCCCCTCAATCACCGACAGGTAGTGCACCAGATCGCCGTACACCAGAGTCTGCAGGGACAGCGCAACACCAGCGCCAGGGCAGGGGCAAGGCGCAGGTGTCGATTCGGAGCGAGCCGGCGTCTGCCTGGCGTGTGTCGCGGCACCGTGGAACCAGTCAGCGGCCGCAGTCAAACACCCGGCGGCCGGCCCAGCCCTGCCTGCTTCTCCAGCTGTTGGACCGCCCTGCTCAGCCGCGTCACGTCCTGCTCCGCGCCCGCCGCCGCCTTGCGCACCGCCTTGAGCTCCGCGCCGATGCGCTGCTGCGTGTGGAAGGCGGCCTCGGGGCCGCGGTTCTGCTCCTGCGCCGCCTGCGATACCAGCTCCTGCGCCGCTTTCTTGGCAGCCGCGGTGGCACGGGCTGCAAAACGAGGGGCAACGCGAGGGTGGCGGCGGAGTGGGGCGGCGCCAGCGGCGGGGCGGCAGGCGGAACACCCCCAGGGCCGCGAGAACTGATTATGAAATCAGTTCATGAGCTGATTGGTCGACGTCAAAACCCACCAGACTCTCTGCTCAGCTCTGACTGCTGGGCCTTGTAGCTGCGCAGCGCCTCAGCAAACATGCGTGGCCCACGCTGGGATGATCAGCTGGCCTTGCTTAAGTGGTGTATCATGCCGATGGCAGCGGCAGCGCCCGGATTTAAGCTGTTCCCAACGAACGGCGCCAGCTCAGCCCGTCGCCGCCTTGGGCTCCTGCCCAGCGTCCCACACACGTTCACCACTTCCCAAGCCGATTGCACAGGTACATTATTATTACATCAGACAAGGGACAAGGGGGCTCGCTGCGCTGCGCCGGCCAGGCTACGCCGCCGCCTCTGCCTCTGCGCCCGCCGCCCGCTGCTGCGCGTCTGCCTGGATCCCTTCCAGCTTGGCCAGCAGCGTGGCGCGCTGGTCGCCCTCCGGCTGCCGCCCCACATCCTGCGCCATGCGGCCCAGCAGCTGGAAGAAGTAGCGGTCGTTCATGGCCAGGGTGGCGGCCGCCTCCGGGGCGCCCAGCACCTGCGTGGAGCAGGCGACGGCGGGGAGGGTGGGCCACAGCAGGGCGCAGCAGGGCGCAGCTGCTGCGGCAGCTGCATCCCCACCCAGCTCCGTACCGCCGTGCACAGGCCTGAACCTGCCTGTGGTGCAGCTGCCTGACAGCCTGCCGCCTGCACCCCTACCCGCCTCACCTGCTGCCGCTGCTCGGCGGTCTCGGCGGCCAGCAGGCGGTTGAGCAGCTGGATCTCGGGGCGCAGCGTGGCCTGCTTGGCCTCAAAGGCCGCCTTGAGCGCCGCCTCCAGGCGCGCCACCACCTCCGCGTTGCCCTCCTTCTTGGCCTGCAGCCACGGCGGGCGGGTGGGTGTGGGGTACGGGGTTGAGGGTACGGGGTTGAGGGTACGGGGTTGAGGGTACGGGGTTGAGGGTACGGGGGCGGTCGAGGCCATCGCGCGGCAGGTCAGAATCAGAAGTGCAGTCGGCGGCACGCGGCAGGCACTGCGCTTGCATCCGCGACGCACGGCAGGGCGCGGAGGGCGCCGCGGCTCATGTAGTGAGGCCTACCATGGACAGGAAGGTGTTGGCCTGCCAGAAGAACTGCTCATCCAGGCTGTCGGTGTACTGCTGTGCCACCTCCTGCGGGTCCTCCGCCTGCAGCAGCTTGGCCAGCATGTCGGCGGCCACCAGCTGCTGCTGCCGCGACTCGCGGATGGCGTCCTGCAGCCGGTGCGCCTCGCTGGCGGGGTCCGAAGCGCTGCTGTTGACTTCGCTGCAGCCGCCGCGCTTGCCACCGCCGCCGCCACCCTTTCTGTTCTTTCTGCTGGCCCCGCAGGCGCAGAGCCGCCGCTGCTGCGTTAGCGATGGTGCTGCCATGACTGCCGCCGACAGCGGCTGTCGTGCACTGCACTGAAAGCCTGCAGGCAAGGGCGGGCGGCAGTCCCACGCGGCGGTCGCCCGCGGCGGCGGGTGGCGCTGCGCCGTTGCGGGCGCCAGTGTGCCCACACTGGCGTGCATAGTCTCTCCTTGCAGATCTCACCGCTCCGAGGGAGGGAAGGGCTCACCTTGCAGGGAAAACATTGCAAAGTTCTGGGGCTGACTCTCTGCGTGTTGCACCTCTGTGCTTGTGTGTGCCGTCAACTTCACAGTCGATTGAAGGGAGCTGCAATCGCTCTGCTCCTGTTCACCTCAACCTGATCGGCCAGGTGGCGCCCGAGACATGCGCGAAGCACTTAGGGCTGCAGCATTGTGCTTGCTGCAGCTGAGCGTCGCGGAGCGAGTCCATCGGAGTTAGCCCCGAAAGCATGCAAGTCCTGGCAGGCACCATCACTGCTGGGGCTGGAGCGGCAGCTGCCGGGTCTGTGAGGCATTCGGGATGTGCAGCAGCGCGGCATCTGCCAGCAACAGCAGCACGGCGGCTCCAGCAGGCAGGCAGTGCGCCGCCGTGCCCGCGGCGACAGCGGCAGCACCTAGCGGTGCAGGCCGGCGGCGGCTTTGGCAAGGTGAGGAAAAGCAGCCTATGCGGGCATATGCCTTGGCATCATGCATGTGCCTCCGACTGCAAGCCAGCCACCAAACAGTCCAGCCTACAGAGGGCCCATGCATTGCCAGCGGGCATGACGAAACGCGGCGTGAGCCAGCGCACCTTCTGTTGGTGCAGCCGGCTGAGAAGAAGATTAGCAAGCAGAAGGCCTGCCCCTGCGGCTCAGGACTGGAGTACAAGGTGCGGCCTTGGTGCAGGAAGGAACAGGATGGAACAGAAGAGCCGCATCCCTCGTTTCTCCCTCTGTGGTCGAAGTAGCTGCCTGCTCCGCGTCTTCCCACAGGACTGCTGCCAACCATACCACGCCGGCGGCCTGCCCGGCACGCCGGAGCAGCTGATGCGGAGCCGGTACTCTGGCTACGTCAAGGGGCTGTGGCAGTACATCGTGGGCAACACACACCCGGACAACCCGCTGCCTACGGACGAGGCGGCGCAGGGCGGGGCGGCCCACGCTCAAGGATGATGTCCTGGCTACCATCGACAAGCTGGGCTTCGAGAGGCTCAAAGTGCTGAGCGTGGAGCCGGGGAAGGACGAAGACGAGGGGTTTGTGACCTTCCAGGTGTGCTGCGGGGCTGGCTGGGGCTGTGCTGCCCGCCGGCTGCGCTGCCGACCTGTGGCCTCCTGCTTGCTGCTGCAGGCCTGGTTCAAGAACCGGGGGCAGCTGGGGCAGCGCGCGCAGGGCTGGCACACGCAGACGTTTGTGGAGCGTAGCCGCTTCCTGCGGGAGGACGGCAAGTGGCTGTACGGTGCGCGACAGGGGTGCACCAGCTGGCGTGTTGAGGAGAGCGGCACACTGCACCCCCATATGCATGCATGTGCTGATTCGCAGCAAAGCGCTTTATGTCCCTGTAGTGGACGGCGAGCAGGACTGGAAGCGGTAGCCCATGCGAGCGCCACGCCAGGCCATGTACACCGGCGGAGCTGGCAGCGAGAACCGGCGGCGGCGGCGGCGGCGGCCGCAGCGGCTGTCCTCCTTGCATGGCTCGCCAATGCATGCGGATCCAACGACGTTTTTTTCATGCTGCATTTGTGAGAGGCTCGTTGTTTGATTTTTTTTTAGAGAGATGGAGGGAGATCTCCATCTGTGGTGTCCCTTGCCACGAGGGCGGAGGACAAGATGCTCAGGCACCTGCAATCCAAATCCTCCATACTGTTCTTGTTGGTGAAGCCCTGTCGAGCGATTAGGACCGGCCCTAACCCGCGCAAGCCTGTTGCCCACACAACCCGTTGGGCGTCTGTGCCCAGCGACGCGCCCTGCGGGTCATCTTTGCCCCGGTGAGCATGCTCGACTGGCGGCAGGCGCCCCTGGGGACGGTGCATATGTACGCCGCCCCCACTTAGGGCTGCGCCGCCGCCGCCGCCGCTAAACCCCTTTGGACCCTGCCACCCCGCCTCGCTGCCGCCCAGCACTCATGTCGCGGTCGCTGCCCTTGCCCTCACACTGCCGCTTTTCTTTGCCCCAGCAGCCTGCATCACAGGCCACGCGTGGAACGGCGCGGAGCTGCAGTAGCCGCCCTGCGGAGGCGGATCCGCCGCCCCGAGTCCTTCGGCAGCAGGCGGCGGCATGGCGGCGCCCAGCAGCCTCACGCTGGAGCTGGAGGAGCTGCTGCAGAGCGAGTGGACCTACGAGGTGTACCCCAGCTACTACGACCAAGCAACCTGCCTGCAGCAGAACGTCAGCCTGAGCAACCGAGTCAACGTGCCCGGTGCGCTTCGCCGCGCTGCCCGCCCGCCGCCTGCCGCAGATGCTGCCGCGCTGGGCCGCGCTGGGAGCTGCCAGCATCGCCGCGCAGAAATGCACGCGGGCACAGCTGCGTGCACGCTGCCGGCGCGGGCATCCGCCAGTGCCGACCGTGGGCATGCTCCCCCTGCGCCCTGCCTTGTGTGCCCGTGCAGACAACTTCAACTTTTGCAGCGTGCCGCTCAGGTGGGCCCGGCTGCGGTGCCGCGGAGGGCGGCGCGGCATGTGTGGCTGGCAGTCGTGGCTGGAAGCCTCATGGCTTGGCCGCCTGGTGCCGCCTCACGGCGCGCTGCGGTGAGCCCACGCGCCGCCCTGCGCCCCGCACCCCCTGCCCTCTCTGCAGCGGCGCCGATGCCTTCCTGTTTGCCTCCCTGGCGCTGCTGGTGGCCAGCGTGTGCATGGGCAAGCTGCAGTCGGTCTGGGTGCTGATCGTAGGTGTGTGCGGGCCGGCAGCCCGCAGCGCTCTCACCACCCAGCCCAGCAGCGCTGCATGCTAAGCTCCGGTGGCTGGCCCTCCCCATTCCCACTCCCCTCCGCCTCCCCCTGCTCCTCCCTGGAAGCCCGCTGCGCCGCCACCGGCCCTGCGGCACCCGCCGCCCTCATCCTGTACCGCTCCGCCCGTACCGCTGTACCGCAGGTGGCGTGCTGGGCATCCTGAACTACGAGGTCAACCTGTACCGCCTGGGCAATGCCATCTCCCTCTGGCTGGGCATCCAGCCCCCAGACCTCTTCTTCTATGCCTTCCTGCCCCCGCTGCTGGTGGACGCAGCCCTGCGCCTCGACTGGTACATCTTCAGCAAGGTGCGCGGCTGCCTGGCGCCTGGTGAGGGTGTGTGGGGTGTGGGGCGCGCACAGTGTGCTGTGCGCATGTGTGCGTGGACTGACAATGACTGGTGGCGCTGAGGGGAGGTCCGACGTGTGTGAGGTGTGTGCGGCAGCAGGGTTGCGTGCAGCACGGCGCCAGCGTCGGCGCCCCCATGCTTGCACCCGCCCAGCCGGCCCGCGCTGCGTCCCCGCCGGCCTGCGCTGCAGCTGTGGGTGCACATCACGCTCATGGCGTACGGCATGGTGATCATCAACACCGCCGTGCTCACCCCCTTCATCCTCTTCGTGCTGGGCTTCTCCAGCCGCGGCTGGGACTGGATCCACGGCGCCGTGCTGGCCGCCATGCTGGCCCCGACCGATGCAGTGGCAGGTACCGCCAGGGCTCTCTCGCGCGCCTCGGCACTGCCCGCCTCCAGGCCCACACCACCTCACGCCTGCCTACAACGCAGCCCCGCCCGCCCACCTACCCACCT